AGAATAAAATCAATGGAAAATATGAATGCTTGGAAGAATACTGGAACACAAGAGTGCAAGGTAGAATGCCTCACAAATTCAACAACAAAACGGCATTCACCAAGAATTAAGATCAAATTTAACCAAGCAGTCAAAATTGAGAGACAAGAGTTAACCATGAAACAAGCAATAGAATTTCAAAAATTAGGCCCACAAGAGATTCCAATAATGACAATCAGAACACTGATTCAAGAGCAGATATAACCAAGATGCCAAGATCTAGTACCTTAAGTACTAGAATTAATTAACAGAACAAGCTATGGTTGGGATCAAGATGCTGAGAAGATTACTGTCTTCTAATTAAAAGAGCAAACAAAAATCAAGGCAGCTAGACAAAGAACCATTTCTCTTGGAACAAAACTCTAAGGCATCAAGTATTTCAAGGACTACCCCTTTACCTCATAGCTCATGGAGGCTAAGCAGGTTTACAATCAAGTCATCCTAGACATCCTAGGGTCAAGTCAAAGCTAGGACATTAAGGATATAGAGATTAACACTTGCAAGAGACAAGAATGAGGATGCCTCATATAGATATTTTCTGATAATCGTCACCCCTCCTAAAGAGGTGTCCATATGAGCAAAAAAAAATCAAGAAGATCAGCAGGTATACTGAAACAAGAACTAGTGTCAGAACAAGAATGGTTTTCAAGGACAACTCAAACTAGATTTCAAGAACAGTGCAAGAATTAATTTCAGACAAGTATCGAGATAATGAGGATTTCAATAATCATTATCCTTTTTCTTTAGATTTCAGTTTCAAGAACAAGTACAAAGCAATTTCAAGAAAGATTCAAGATGGATTTCAAGAGTTTCAAGCAATTTCAGGTATCAAGAATGTAGAGATTAGCAACAATAGAGTTTAACTTTATGACAGTTTGCCAATCTTCACAAAACATTGCAATTTCAATTGAATCGATCACTATTCTTGATTAACCAATATAGAAAAATGAGCCACATGAAAAGACCATGAAGCTTCAAATGGAAAAAGTGAAACTTCACTATAAGACTTTCAGAAGATAAGGAGCAACGGAATTACCAAGTAATCCAGCTCCTAAAACGCATCTAGAAAAACACACAACATTGGCTAAAATAGCCTTGAATCTCTTACAAGGTAGAGGGTTGCCCATCTTCCACTGGTCATATGACAATCAGAGCAATTTCTCAACCAACTGTGGTAGAGACTAACAAGATCACTGACAAAAGATCTCTGCAACTCCCCAGAGTTTACAATGGTGGCAAAAGAGCACACAAAAATTCTATTCACGTAACAAGCCTAAACAAGTGCGGACTATCAGAAAATGACCAAGTTTCAAAACAAGGTCTTCAGGACATAACGGGCAAGATTACTTTCACAACTTCACACAGAGTATGAAGGCAAGAAACAAGAACAATCAGATCACCATCTCATCGAAATGGATTAGCAAATTTAGGCAACACGAATCAGAATCATCCCTTATATAACCCCATCACTCGTCTCACCATGGGTCTAAAATCCACTAGCTAGCCAAGTCCAAAACAAATCCTAGGTATTCAATTAAATCTAGGCTCGGATATCACTCAATCTGCTCTAATGCCACTCAATCTGAAGGTGCTTAATTTAATCCAAAACTCTTAATTTAAACTTAAGCTCTTAATTTCAACCTAAGCTCTGATACCACTAAATTTGAAGGTGCTTAATTTAATCTTAAGCTCTTAATTTCAACCTAAGCTCTGATACCACTAAATCTCCAGATATCTAATTTAACCTAAGCTCTGATACCACTAAATCTCCAGATATCTAATTTAAACCTAAGCTCTGATACCACTAAATCTCCAGATATCTAATTTAACCTAAGCTCTGATACCACTAAATCTCCAGATATCTAATTTAACCTAAGCTCTGATACCACTAAATCTTAATCAAACCCAAGCTCTAATACCACTAAATCTGTCACGCCCCAAAACCCAATTTCGAGATGCGACAGACGCCGTGCACTCGTGAGAGAGTCCCACAAATGCACAAGGCTTGGAACTTATCACACTGAACTCTGATACCACCAAAATCTGAAGATCAAATATTTAAAATTCTCTCTAATATCATAAAATCTCCAAGTACACTCTAG